ATTTTAAAAGTGTTTTCCTCACACCTATCCTTTGAAGTAGATAACAAAAGTATTGCTCTGCCCATTGTACTGATGAGCTAATAGATTCAGAGAGGGGAAGTGCCTTGCTAAGAACCACACCACTATTAAACGTTAGAGTTGAGCCTGGGACGACCCAAGACCCAGAGCTCTTTCCGTGACACTAGGCCATACATACCACCCCACTAGTTCTGTTTCCTCCTAAGACTGGCTGGTGATGGGAAATACGATGTGTTTCATGACACCGCGTTAGCCAGGCCACTGAACTAACAGCAAAATCTCTGACTCCCAGGATAAATATAATGCAATTATACTAAAGTGAAGCAGATGAATTCCTCAATTAACAGGGAATACAATGACCAATTTATAATGTGTTATGTTACAAGCACAGAATAATAATGGTAGTTTACATTTGTGTAATGCTTTATTGTTGCGAAAGCACTTTACATTTATCAACTCATTTTATCCTCACAACATCCCTGTGAGGTAGGCAGGACAAAGATATTATCACCATTTTCTCAGTGAGAAAACTGAGGACTAAATAGATGCCACCTCTATAAATGAAAATTTATCACCCATTCTTTATTGCTCTCATTTATTTAACATGAATCCAGTGTTGGGAATACAATCTAGGATTTGTTATTTTAACAGTTTCTAATTTTTTGTTTAGGTGACACCCCTCCTGTTAAATCCACCATCTGTGAGAGTTGGAGGTCAAACAGTTCACCTCTTACATTTTGCAGACTGAAGGGAAGTGATGTGTCTAAGATCCCATAATAATTTAGTTCCTAGGCTTCCTGATTCCCAGAGCAATGCTCTTTCCACCACAACACTAGAACACAGAATCTTCATTTAGAACTGGAAGGGACTTTCAAGTACAAAATATTAGAGCTAGAAGAGAGCTTAGAATACAGAACACTGGAGCATATTACGTATACTATGATCTAGAAGAAATTCTTGAGATCATCTCTGTCATTTAACAGATAGAGAAATTAAGACCCAGAGAAGGGAAGTCACTTTCCCAAGCTTACATGTTGGGAAGCAGAAAATTCAGGACTATATTTCATGTCTTCTATGTCCACAGCATAAATAATAATGGTGATGACTGTCATTATATATATATATATATATATATATACATATGTACATACATACATATAAAAAACATTTTTAAAGTGCCTTCAATGTTTGCAAAGTGTTTTACATACATTATCTCATTTGAGCAACATTTCATATGACTACTTGAGTGGTAAGAGAGCCAATTTGGAGACTCAGTCTTTCAAGAGATACCAGGCAAAAAACTTGAGAGAAGACATTTTTTTAAATGTCACTATGTTCTTATCTTCTATGCAACACATTAGAGTCAAAATATTTTAAGACTAGTCAACTGATTCAGTTGGTTAGAATGTGGTGCTAGAAGGAATGAGATTATGCGTGAGTGAAGAATCATAGTATATTGGAAAGGGCATTGATAAGGGAGTCAGAAGAAATGAGTTTAAGTCATAGCGCTGCCAACTTACTTGCTCTGTCACCTTGGGTAAAATCATTTTGGTCTTCAGTTTTTTCCTCTATAAGATAAAGGAATTGAACTAGATGATCTTTAAAGTCCCTTCCAGTTCAAATATTTTGTGATTCTGATTTCATAGAAGTAGGAACTTTCCACTGGTATAATCCACAACCATCCAAACCTTCTCAACCTTTTACTCACAACTCTTGTTCACATTCTCATGCAAATCCTCCATAGAGGAAAACCTCTTTAAGGTGCTGAAAGTCTTCTGTTTTGTTTTTTTTTTTAAATATTTTATAGAATGTCTTGAAACACTCAGAAGCACCACCTATTCATTGTGATCCCTTACATGCACCACAGGATTACCCCATCTCCTCTTCTGGTCACACAAGTCTTTTAATACCTCTTTACTCAGAGGTAGAAGGAACAAAGGTGATTACCTAGTGGAACTCTTTCATTTTAAAGATGAGAAACTGAGTGGAAGTGGGCTTCTTCTTAGAGTACTTTGGGATCTCAGGTTAAGGGACTCCTCTTTTCTTTTTTTGTGTTCTCTGAGGTCTTAGGGTCCCTCAGGGCTTACTGGGGCCTTTGTAGAAGATGCAGAATGAAGGGGTGTTAGGCCACTGGCAATGTGCCTCAAACTGCAGGAACCAAAGAAGAAGTCTATAAACTCCCTTCTATAGGCACATTTTATTTGTGTGCTTATTTTATAATATTACAATTTATTAAAGATTAATGTATATCAATTATTGTGTGTATTCATGTATGTTGTTTGCTATTCTGAAAGATTATAATTTTGTTAGTTAATTCTTTTAAATGTATTTTTTCCTCCATTGCTTAATTCTGATCCAAAACTACTTGTAAAAAAGGGTAAATTGAGTTTGTATTCTCACAGAAAATTCAAAATGTATATTTCCATGAAAAAACGAAATAAAAGGTCATAGGAAAAAATTATACAATTTATTATAGATCACTTTAAAATCTCTGTTTAAAATCTTTGCTGTTTAAATTTTTTTTATTGGTCTTACTGGTATCTATTTGCTTTTCTAGTAGAAAACAAAGCTTCAAGATTCTAAACAAGCAGACAAATGTCTGGTAAAATAAGCTCCTCAGAAAACAGTTCTGGTATAATTAAAACAAAACAAAACAAAAAAAACCCTAAACCATGAAAGAGGGCTTGTTGTAGTAGTGGAGGGCAGATGTAGTGGTTGCTAGGGAACCAACTACATGGAGATAAGGCAAATAGCCAGCTAGGAAGGATGGAGAGTGAGATCTTTCATAAGGAGATAAATAAGTAAATAAGTAGAAGTAGTCTAATTGAGAAAAGGTTAAGTTTAAAAAAAAAAAAAAAACTAGTCATGGGGAATTTTACCGCAGCATGGAGATGTTCATGCCTAGTTAAATTTATTCTTCAGTCACTTGGGTAGGGATCAAGGAAAGTCAGAGGGAATAATGACTATTTTGGCTTATGTGGAGCCATCTTGAATCAATTCCAAAAGCTCAGGCATGAGAATCATTAATTGTTTCTAAGCCAGAGAAATACAGTGAACTAGAAGTTTGGGACAAACTGCTGGAGGAATTTTTGCCACTAAGCAGTTATAAAGTCCTAGAGCTTCTCTAACTGACTATGGACTCAAGAGTCTAACATCATTGTAAAGATTTTGTGTGAATTAGAAAGAAATATTCCATACAAATTTGGAGATGAGACCAGGGCCAGATAAATGTAGATTATAAGCTCTTCTTGTGTAAGGGTTGGGTTGTTTTTTATCTTTGTGTCCCCAGCACTTAACACAGCACTTGAACAGAATAGGTGCTTAATAAATGTTTATTGAATTGAATTGCTAAGAGTTTTTACTGGAGTTAATTTTACTGAGGTTATTTGGCAGATGGCTAAATTTGTTCCCAGCTAAAATCTCCCTAAGCAATTAGTGTTTATTTTGATAAATAATCACCTCTTTTTTACAATGATAGACCTGGAAATAAATGTGATATTACTGCTAAGATCAACAGATTCTGAGTGAGTAGAATTCTCTGAATATTTGTAATGAGTACACAAGTCTATGTTAGGAAGTCTAGTTTTGTTGGAGAACGCCAAAGAAGCCTGTTAACATTTTCATACATGGCCAATGTGTTGATGGGTTTTGCTTGACTTATTTGTTAAAATGATTAGTTTCTAGATAAAAGAATAAAATATTTAAAAATACTCAAAAGAAAACAAAAAGCATTTCAGAAGAGGACACAAATCACGATTTTGTTAATGCCTTGTTAAATTTAATGCATACTTTTGAAAAACACTAACAACAGTTCATAGGTTCATATATAATCTTTTCTGTTCTTTGCATATTGAAATATTTGTATTGATGATCAAATTCACAATAAAAAAGACAATTTAATTGTCAAAAAGTCTCTATTTAAAAGATTGACTAATTATCAACTCTCTAATTTAGAGATCACATCTATTTGCCCTAAAATGTACTTTTGGAATGGGTGAAAAGTAGGCACTTAATGAGTATTTGTTTGACTGAGTATGTGACTAGACAAAGGCAGCAAAGGTAATTCCTTGAACTGTGGTACTAGGTAGACACCAACATGATTACAAAGCGTAATTAAGGGATTTGATTCCTGTAATAGTTAGTGAGCTTTCCCTTCTATAAAGAAAGGGCAGAGAAAATCACTTTTATCTTGTTTATAATTTTCACATGCACTAATAAATTGTTTTGTGTTGGTTATATATATATGTATATATATTCATTTAAATCTATATCTATAGATATGGATATATAACTATAGATAAAGATCTATATCTTATTTCTCTACAGAATTCAGCACCAAAATGGCAGGGACCCTATTATGTTCATCTTATTATCTTCAATACAATAAATAGAATCATAGGATTTAGAACTAGAAGAGCCTTTAGGGCTCAGCTTGTGTAACCCCCTCATTTTACAGGAAATAAAGGCCCAGATGACCTAAGTGACTTGCCCAAGGTCACAAAGTTATCTCAGGCTTTTCACTATTGTTGGATGAGTTTGGAAAGGCTGTCAAGTGGTGATCAAAAATGATACTGAGTCAAAATCCAATGACCTCCTACACTTTCGTGAAAAGAAAGGCCACAGTTGATAGATTATAAGCTCTTTGAGAGCAGGGACCATATCTTATTCATCTTGCCTCCCATGTAGCACCTATAACTTGCACATATTAAATACTTAATAAATCTATGCCAAATGACTACAAGCAGCCCAACTCAAGACTTCTAATCTCAAAGAAAACAAAAGAATTATTCCTACTTAAAATATCATTCCAGTTACAGATTTATGTCTATCCATGCACTACGTCCATTCCTATACAGGCCCCATCATTCTGACTGAAATAATATGGTACTTATGGGCTGTATTCACTTATAAAAAAACTCGAGCTATTCCAACTACAGCTAAGTACCACTAAATATAATGGAAGCTGCTCAACTGGTGAATACCTGACTATGGAAAACTTTGAAAACTGAAGCTTCGATGGAGACATTCTGTGAAAAATGGATGGGAATCTGCATTTTCTGTCCATAAAGATATCTGGAAAGCTGAAATCAAAAAGTAGAATGAGCTATTGAGCAAGTCAGAAACATATTATATAGTAGACACATGATTGCCTTGAATTTTTACCTTGCTCTGTGACCTTGGGCAAGTCACTTCATCTCTCTGTGCCTCAGTTTCCCCCTCTCTAACCTGAGGAGTTTGGACTAGATGCTCTCAAAGGTAAATGCCTTTTAAGTCTAACAGTTAATTAGCTGCACTCTGGAGTGCTTCATCCCTGGTTGGACTCCAGAGCTTTGGGGAATGGGACGCTCTAAATTCACTGCTTTATAAAGGAAAAATGGGTTACCCCATTATTCTATTCTGCCAGCAAGCCCCCGGGACTTGACTTGCTGGTATCCTGCATCATTTCATTGTTGCCACCACATTCCCTACCCCTAAATTCTTCTTTAATCACATTGCATTCACTTCTGATACAGCTTCTATAGCCAGAGATGGGGATGGGTCTTCTATGACCAGGAGGTTAGGGGGCACTCCTAGTAGGATACAGGGTCAACAGGTAAGCTAGGCAGCAAGGAGGGAAAGGTAGCCTATGTCTCACGGCTCTGTATCAAAGACCACTAGTCACTTCGCTCAGGTAGCTGCCTCTCTCCCTCTGGACTCCAGATCAGGCAAACTTGATTCTCTAGGGCAAAAGACCTGGATAGGGATTATCCAGGAAGTTGATGCAGGATGGCAAAGGGAAAGAGTTGTGCCCCAGGGGAGGAAGCTGTATCTAGGGCAGAATTTTGGTACCACCAAAATAAGTCTGAGGTAGAGGACACAGGGCTTTCTTTTTTTCTGCTTCTTGAAAAATGCACTTAATCGTTATTTTAAAGAATTTTACTGCTAAATACTACAAGGAAATATGGGGACTGGTGATAATTTACAATATCCACCAAAGAGGAAAGTTTACAAGTTACAGAGGTCTTATCAGGTAATACGGGTCTTCCAACATAATGCTTTTGAAACTAGGCCTTACTCTTTCTTAGTTCCCTCTGCCCCTTATTTTAGATCTTAGTTCTTAACCTTGAAGCCAGGTGACCCAATATTGCCTGGGCTAGAAGTTGGATCAATTTTAGGGGAGGCAGCCCACCTGATAAAATGTAAGAATAAGAAGTCAGGAGACTTCTGAACTAAGAGTCAGGAGATCAGGGTTCAAGTTCCAACCCTAAAATTTAATATTTTTGTTATCTTGAGCAAGTCATTTCACCATTTTTGAATCTCAATTTGCTCACTGGTAAAATGTTGATAATAATCCTTGCGCTATCTGCCCCATAGAGGTATTTTGAAGGAAGTGCTTTGTAAATCTTAAAAGTACTACAGGAATTTGAGGTATAATAATGATGATGATGATGATTATACTTCTAGCCAGTGGATTTGGCTTGGTAATGTGTATCTCAGTGGTTCTAGATTATGATCTTAAAATCCTTAGCTGTGGGTGTAGAAACTCAGTATACAGGCAGGAAAAAGGAAAACTTTTTCTAAATTCTTCTTTCTCACCAGATGATACCTTCTCCTAGGTAGGTATCTAGCCAGCAAGGAAGTGTCCATCAACCTATGTCTTCCAGCCATAGGCCTTAACATCCTGTTCTTTCACCCTGACTTCCTAGATAGGAAAGATCCTACTTATGTGACCTCTAAAGATTTCTTCTCCAGAGTTTTCATCTGAAATAAATGTATAGTCCCATATCCCCCTGTATCTCCCTACACTGGTTTCTAGGACCCCCTTTTTCTGGCATCCATGGGTCTCAGGGAACACAAACTTTGACCTCCATGAATCCCTTCTATAAGCCTGACAATCTCATGATGCTATCGATACTCTCTGTATGGGATCTTTCCCTAAACACACAGAACCACACAGTTTTGAAGTTGGAGGAGACCTTAGAGTTCACAGCATCCAATTCAAATCTTAGCAGAAATTATTTCTATAACATCCAAAACAAGAGGCCATGCAGCTTTCACTGGAATATTCCAATGATGAAGAATACACTAATCTCAGAATCAGTCCATTCCCCTTTTGGGACAGTTGTAATAGGAGTTCTGTCCTTTTAGCAAGCCAAAATCTGTTTCTCCATAACTTTCACCCATTTGTACTAGTTCTACTCACTTGAGACAAGTAGAACAAGTGCTTTCACATGAAAGCCCTTTAAATAGATGAAAATAGCTATCATGATTTCCCAAATCATATTTTCTTCAGCACTAATACACTTGATTCCTTTGACTGATCCTCATTCGGAGTCTCCCTTCATTTTTCCCACCATCTTGGTAACTCTCCTCTGTACATCTTCCAGTTTGTCACCATTCCTCCTAAACTAGCAAACTATGTCTAGAACTAAACAGAGCAGTCCAGATGAGGTCTGAGTAGGGAGAGGATAGTGGGACTTCATCTTCCCTGTTTTAGATACCAAACCTATATTAGTGCAGCCTAAGATTTATTTTTCCTGTTCTAACTCTGCTAGCCTCCTTAGACTGCCCAGCTCTCTCTTCCCTAGAGCCCATTTCATTAGTAAAGCTTAGATAATACCCACACCCTATGATCAATGAACAATTGATACCTGTCCTTGGCCTAGAGACTTGCTCCAACCAGTTCCCAGTTCATAGACTGCTGAGTAATGGTTCGGGCTGGGGATGGGGAGGTGAGTGAGTTATTCAAAACTAGGTTTACAGCTGTGTGACTTATTTTCCACCCCTTAAACCTAAAGAAAATAATATAAAAATATCTCCCATCCTATGACTGAATAGGGCAGGGTCATATGCCATATATAGTTAAATTTAAAGTTTTATGAAATGGTTGCTGTGGAACAATACTTAGCTAGATATATCTAAATTATATCTATCCAATTGTTCAGCTAGATTAGAGAATTTGCCATGAGCCATCCATAAAGTGATGTAGTAGAAAGAGCAAGGAATTTGGAGTCAGAAGACTTGGTTTCAAATTCTGGCTCTGCTACTTACTATACTGTATGAGCTTGGGCAAGATTCTTCCCCTCTCTGGGCCTCTGCTTCCTTGTCTGCAAAATGAGGGGCATTAGAATAAATGACTTCTAAGGTTCCTTCCCAGCTCTAAATTCAATGATTTTCTTTTCTTATAAATAAAACACTAAAATAGTTTTGTAAAGTGAATGTTGAATGCTTGGGCACAAAAACAATTAATTCCCAGGAGATCAGGGTTCTGTCCTGGGCCCTTTTCTCTTCTCCCTTTATACTACTTCACTTAATGATCTCATCTGTTCCCATGGATTTAATTACCATCTCTATATTGATGATTCTCAATTCTACTCATCCTGATTTTGCCTCTCTTCTGACCCCTAGTCTTGCAGTTCCAACTGCCTTTCAGACATCTTGAAGTGGATGTCCAGTAAATTCGACATATCCAAAACAGAATTCATTTTCTTTCCCTCTAAACCCTCCTGACCCCCAACTTCCCTATTACTGAAGAAGACAACACTATTCTCTCAAGTCACACAAGCTTGCAACCAGTTGTTATTCTCAACTCCTCACTATCTCTCACCTCCCCGTATCCAATCCATTGCAGCACCTTTGCAACATCTCTCAAACATGCCCTCTTCTATTCTATGACACTACCACCACTCTGGTACATGCTCTTATCACCTCATCCCTGAATTATTGCAATAGCCTGCTAGTGGGTCTACCTGCCTCAAGTTTCTACCCACTCTGATCCATCCTCCATTCAGTCACTAAAGTGATTTTCCTGAAGCACAGGTCAGTCCATGTCACCCTCCCTCATCACTCCATTGGCTCCCTATTGCCTCCAGGATCAAAAACAAACTCTTCTGTCATTCAAATAAAGAAGACTGGAAAGGTAGGAACTATGGGATAAGTGGCTAAGGTAGGGGCTAAGTTTAGCCCCCTCCTACCTTTCCAGTAGTCTTCTTACACCTTTCTCTATGTTACATACTCTAAAACACTAGCTTTTGAATTAGGATATCTGAATCTGAATCCCAGCTCTGATTGCTAGATCTGTGACCTTGGGAGGTCTTATCTCCAAGCTTCAGTTTCCTTTTTTGCAAATGGGGATAATTATACTTATTCTACCTATCTCACAAAGTTGTTGTGGGAAAAGTACTTTGCATACTTTACAATGCTATAAAAATAGGAGTTATTATTTTCTTGGCAAAGCTAAAAGCCCCATTTAGGCAAATGGACAATGACCCAGTGGAAAGAGCCCTGAACTTCAAGTCAAAAGACCCGGATTCTAATATCAACTATTGTCACTAACTCATCATATAACTTTTGGCAAGTCACATCTCTTTCTCCTCAGATTCCTCGAATATAAAAGGGGAAAATAAAACTTGCATGCCCTCTTTCACAGGTATTGTGAATGCATATGTAGCCATTTTGGCGGAGTTATCCACATACTTCCATGTGCATTACAGACATCTGTTCAGAAAAAGAGTCAACTTTGTACCTCTTCTACTTTCTTGAGCCTCAGAAAAGCTTCAAGATGATTTTTATGAACTAACTCAGCTGTTATAAGACAAATGGGAAAATGGAAAAGAAAAGGAGAAGAAAGCCTGAGTCCTTTTCTAAATTCAAAACAAAACAAAACAAAACAAAACAAAACAAAACTACCCAGCAACACCTCAGTGGGAAGTATTCTCCAAGAGGAGGTACATTGTTCAGATGTTGGGCAAAAGGGAACACACAGGACCAATTCACCCAAACTTGACTAGGAGTGGGAATCAGGACTGTTAATTGACCAGGAGAGCATATATGTAAGTAAAATATTTTAAAATTTGTGCATTATAAGCCTGAGTTCTTATTAGGGAACCTGATAATCACTTTTAAAAAAAAATATTTATTTATTTTTAATTTCCAACATTGACTTTGATAATCACTCTTACAGGAACTACTAGCAGGGGTGGGAAACCTGTGAGTAAGAGGCCACATGAGGCCCTGCAGGTCCTCAAGGATGGCCCTTTGACTGAAGCCAAACTTCACAAAACAAAGGGCCGCACTTAAGGACCTAGAGGGTCACATGTGGCCTCAAGGCCACAAGTTCCCCACCCCTGTTAGACATTGATAGTTTCAAACGCCATCTGAAGCTAGTTGATACAACACTGGGCTTGGAGTCAATTTAAATCTAGCCTCAGATGCTAGCTAAGTGACCATGGCAAGTTACTTACCCTCTGTCTGCCTCAGTTTCCTGAACTGTAAAATGGGAATAGTAGCAGCACTTACTTCACAGGGTTGTTGTGAAGATCAAATGGGATAATATTTGTAAAGTGCTTAGAACAGTGACTGGCACATAGTAGGCACTTAATAAATGTGCATTCCCTTCCCCTTTCCTTTCTCATTTGAGCAGAGACAGATGAGCCAGATAAGTGAGAGGGAGGTACCCAATGTGTCTTGGGCTTTTTTTGTCAGTAGGGAGCCTCTAACACAAAAATTTTATACGTAAAATATTTTGTAAACCTCAAAGCACTATATTCAATATAACCATTTAAAGTACCTATTGTATATAGCACCCTGTGCTGGATACTAGGGGAGATACATGGTTTAGATAAGAAAAAGTCCCTAGAGGCAGCTAAGTGGCCCAGTGAATAGAGCACCAGCCCTGAAGTCAGAAGGACCTGAGTTCAAATCCGGCCTCAGACCAAACCCTTGACACTTACTAGCTATGTGACCCTGGGCAAGTCACTTAACCCCGACTGCCTGAAAAAACAAAACAAAATAAAAAAACAAACAAAAAAAGAAAAGTCCCTACCCATGTAGAGTTTAAATCTAGGAAGGTGATAAATAAATGATAGCTACTATTATTATCATCTTTCATCTAAGCCACTGAGCCTAGATAATGATAGCTATACTTCATTTAGAATCATATAATCATTTACTTAGAAGGGACTTTAGACATCTAGTTCAGAAGCTCTTAACTTGGGGTCTATGAACTTGTTTTTTAAAAAAATATTTCAATATCTGTTTCAATATAACTGGTTTCCTTTGTAATCCTATGTATTTTGTTTTAGACATTTAAAATATTGAGAAGGGATACATATGCTTCGTTATTCTGCCAAAACAGTACATGACACAAAAAAGGTTAAGAACCCCTGATTTAGTTCACATCTATCCTTTTCCAAATGAGAAAACTGAGGCCCAAAGACTTGAAGTGACTAACTGTCCAAAGTCACAACACCTATGTAATATTAGAGGCAAGACATAAACCAAGGTCCCTTGATTCCATATCCAAGACTCTTTTCATGGTACCACTGCCATCACCCGGCCCCTTCATTTTAACCCCCCATCCCACCATATCAATTGTTAGCCTAGTTATTAGGAAATAATAAGTATTTTGTGAAAAACAAGAAATGATCCTGGAAGTTACATAGGAATTTTCTGTTTTCTTCCACAATTTGGAAGAAAAATTCTAATTTTGAATTCCTTCAGAGAAAAAATCTTTGTATTTTATAGTGCTTAGAGACATCTATGGTATGGTAGAAAGAATACTAGGCAAAGAGTTGAGTCCTGGGTTCTAATGTTGGCTCTGCCATATAGCAAACCTATCTGAAACCATATTTCAAACTAACAAGGCCACTCCAGGCAAATCAGTTCTCTTGTTTGGGCCCCCTTATCTATAAATTGAGAAGTCCTGTACTAGATGACCTCTAAGGGTCCTACTGGTGCTAACATTCTATTTTCTAAAACTCATTTCTAATTCTAACATTCTAGGTCTAATTTATTTTCTAGCACTTTATTCTATGACCTAAAGAAGGTCATGTTTAGAAGGTCTATTTACTTGGGCTCTCCAGAATTGCTAGAATATTGCCTTATTTTGCCTGGTTTCCTCTCTGTCAGTAGAGTAGCAATGATTGATCAAATCATTTATCAAGTTCTTTCTTGGTTGGATTGCACAGTTTTTAGAAGTAGTTGTGATAGAGTGGAAAAGCCTGAACTAGGAACTAGGAGGTCTGGGTTCCAGTTCTGGCTCTGCCATTAACTGGTTGTTTGACCTTGAATAAGTCATTTCACCTTTCTTGGTTTTCCTATTGGTAAATGAGGGGGTTGGACTGCATTGAGGTCAATTCTAACATTCTATGCTCTACTATCATTACCTACTCTCCTCTGACATTGTATATTCTAAAGTTCCTTCCAACTCTAACATTCTATGCTAACAAGGTTAATTCTTATTCTAACACTCAATGTTCTACAGTCTTACACTTTGTGTTCTTTGTTCCAACATTCTATTTCCTCAGTCCCTTCTGGCTCTAACCTTTTATATCTTGACATTCTATGTTCTAAGATTCCTTCCAGCTCTGACATTTCATGATTTTTTATACATTTCTTCATTAATAAGCCTCATTCTTTGCTAGTATTAATAGACTCTTCCCCACTTGGGTTGGGAGGGCTTGGATTATTTATGAACCATGGGCTAAACTTGTAGAATTGTAGAATATTATAGAATAGTTGCCAGTCTGCATGAGTAGAGAGAATTTTTTCAATAGAAGTTTGCTACATGGATGAAATCATCAATCAGAACTGCCTCCCCACCACTACAAATACACACACATTACCAATTGAACATTTACTGCGTATTTACTCTTTGCAAAGGCTTGCAATACATATTGAGGAAGAATAAAGAGATGAAAAAGACATTCATTGTCTTTGCCCACAGAGAACTTACAGTCAAGTTGAGGAGGTAGAATACATAGACAAATAACTATGATATATATTAGAACATGGAAAGGCACAAGAGAGGCATAAAAAGCTGTGAGAGTTTAAAACAGTAATGTCAAACTCAAATAGAAATGGGGCCACTTAACTGTAAGTAAGGGTCCATGTGGCTGCATACTAACTTAGAAAATCACATATTAATGTTATCTATGGTTTATTGTTTTTATTCATTTTGTTAAATATTTCCCAATAATATTATAATCTGGTTCAGGCCACACTCTCATCAGGGCTGTAGGCCACATGCAACTCTGACATGTTTGACATCTCTGGTTTAAAAGATTCTGACTGAGGCTGAGGGAGAGGAACAGGAAGGTTCCACGAG